CACCTCGCACGCGTCGGGTTGACTGACCCCGGCGCGAGCGCGCTCACAACCGTATCTGTCCATCTGCGACGGCGTATTTCTCGCGCATCGCCGCCGCAGCAACAGCGTCCGGGTATTAATAGTGCGCGCGGCGGCCGCCATTGTGCGCGGGGGCGCGCGCGCGCGCGCGCGCGCGTGCGGGCGGGCCCATTACACCGCTCGTAAATTGGCGGCGCCGTTCGTTCCGGCGCCTCGGCGCAAAGCCGGCCGATTTGCATCACAATGCGGCGGCTGCCGTCGCCGGCCGCCGAGGTCGCCGCTGATCGGTCGTTCGTCGTCCTGTCCGGGTGTTCGTGGCCCTCTGTCCTCAGCGGTCCTCCCGTCCGCGGTCATCCTCACTGTCCTCGGAGGACAGAGATCTGCAGCTGCGGGGGGCGGGCCATGTGGCGGTGTTTGGGGCCGGGCCGTCGTCAGGCGGCGCCTGGCAGTTGCGGACGCGTGGGAGGGACGGCAGCGGTGCGCACATGGCGATGGGGTGAGGCTGAGGGACGTGCCGGGCGCGAGGAGGGGCTCTGGGGCGTGATGGATGCCCGCGAGCCGAGGACGTCGTGTTTGTTCAGCAGACCTGTGGGTTGTTGGGCGCGGCTTAGGTCGCGACGCGGCGTCGACATCCTCGCGTCTCGTGCTGTCGACCGGTCTCGCACGTTGCGTCGTTTGGCGGGGATTCTGTACTGACTAGAGCCTGCTACTGGAAGTTGTTTCGATAGCATTGCCTAGGACCCTGTAGGTTTGCTTGAGCTCTGTCGCCCTGTGGTCCGACCCAGGACGCTTTTCGAGCATTCGGCGGCGCCGGCGAGCCCCAGTGGCGGGCGGGCGGCCGGCCGGCCGCCGCCCTCGTCGGCGGCCGGCGAACGATAACACCCGGCCTGTTTGGAACAAACATTATTGGACGGGGAGCGTGGCCCGTGGGACCGTTCGCCGGAGCGGCGCGCCGTCGCCTATTTATTTTGCCGGTGCCGCCGGTCGTCCCCGGTACCCACTCCTGCTGCCTTACCCCCCCCCCCCCCCCCCGGGCGATCGTCCGTCTCACACCGCTGCGTGCGTCGGCCGGCCCGCCGGCTGCTGGCTTCAGGCGCCCGAATGACGCCACCGTGGCGGCGCCGGCCGCGCCGCCGGCCGCCGTCGCCCCGGCGGACGCGGTGGCGCCGGTGATGTCGGCTGGCTCGCCGGCTGGGTTGGTTTGTTGCGTTCTGCCGCCGCCCGTCGGCTTGGGCGTCGGGTTTCGGTGTTCTTTTGCACGGGTATTTGCTGAGAGCAGTGCTGGGCTGCAAGGATCCACATGTGCGTGATCCAGGTAGTGCAGAATTCAGCGCGCTAGTCGCTTAGGCTTCCCTTGCTGTGATGAGCACATGTGCACATCTGGACCCCAGGTTCAGGGCTACGCGCGCAAGCAAGCTTCCACACTACATGACGTGGGCGCTTTCGGATCTCTAAAGCCTCATTGCGCTTGTGTCCCATCATTTACCTGGCTAGGAATCTGTCCTTTCGGTGAAGATCAGTTCATGGCATCGTGAGGTTTCGGTTTTTCCTTCCGTCGACCCCAGCAACGCTGTAGTCACGTTTTGCCAGGTGCCAGGTCGTCGGTGGCACGTAGAGTGCTTCTCTGATTCTCAGGAGCACGCCTCTGGACAAGGTCGCCTTGGGGTAGCTGGCCAGATTACAGACGCGGGCTTCGACTCGCCGCTCGCTGCCTCATCACCAGCGCGTCGCCGTCAGCTGTCGCTGCGCGGCTGGGCGGCTTTCCTCGCGGCTGCCGGCGGCGCATGCCCCCGGGCCAATTAGGCGGCGGGAGAGCGCCGGCCGGCCGTGGCGCCGGCGGCGCGCACGACAGCGGTGTCATCGTGAAAGCATCCACTTAACCCGGCGACGCAACAGCTGCGATAGTCCAGCTACAGTTACAGCTGGCTGTGATAGAAAGCAGCAGGTCTGTGCTGACGGCGGCGTCATGGTTCGCTTCAGCGGCGTCGGCCTGACAGATCAGGCACAGAGACGTGATGTGTTTTTCACTTGACTTCCTTTTGAGGACGATTGCTCCAGTGCTGGAGCGTGCTTCCCTCCTCGTTCCGGACGACTGACTATCTGGGAAAATGAACTATGAATCAACACTTCCTGCATAGATCGCGGAAATACGCTGCATGATGCAACCGCGCCCGGCGTAGTTCCTATGGCGTCAGCGAATAATAATGACGGCTCGGCATGCGTCTGGCTGCGCTGCTGTGTACCCCTGCACAGACACCTCCTAGCCGGCAGCCGTCTCAGCAGGGTCGCCGTGGCAGCGCGGTGTGGGCCGTCCGCTCCCCTCCGATCAGCTGTAGCGACGCGCCGTGCGGAGCCGCCCTTCCAGCACGCGCCGGCCGCCGGGCGCCCGGTGCCGGCCGCTGTGCTTTTTGCCGCGGAGGAGAAGGATGGTCCGTGCCTGAAAGTGCCGCAGTCGGTGGGTATTTTTACCGCGGGCCGGCGCGACCGCGGCCAGCCACGGACAGGGGCCGTTCCGGCCGGGGAGAGGAGCCCCTGCGCACGGTCCGGAGGCGGCCACCGGCCCCCCTCTGCGGAGCTGGCTCTGAAGGACGGAGGTGCTTCTGTCCCTGGCGGGGTCAGTCGTTAAGAGTCTTATTGGCCGAGGTGCGACGCTTCAACTGCCGAGGCTTCAACTGCATCATGACGATTAAAATACCAGTTAATGGAAAGCAAAACAACGACAATGCTATTGCTACGTCGGATTAACGCATGTCGCCACCAAAACGCGCAAACCTGCGGTGACAACTGCATCCTCCCGCACGGCAACCCGAGCCGTAACGTCCTCGCCCCAGCCCGTGCGACACCTGTAGCCTCCCCGGACCCCGCCCAGCCGGTCGCCGACCCCTGCCGTACCCCCAGACACCTCGCGCGCGACCTAACGACCAGTCGGCGCCGGTCACGCGGTGTCCCGACGAGCGTCGATATCGACGGAGCGTGGCCGGCCGGCCGGGTCGGGATCGGGGCGGGGGCGGGGGTGGGGGCGGGGGCGGGCTGGGCCGGGACGAGCGAGCGCCGAGACGGCGGCGATGGCCGGCGCCAGCTGTGCGACCTGCTCGCTCTCTGCTGATGGATCGGCCGCTGTCTGGGCCTGTACAGCCAGGTGTGTGCGCAGGGGCGGGTGTGGGAGGCGGCAGGGGGCAGTGGCCGCAGCTCGCGCGCCGTGGAGGGCGCCCGAAAACGATGTCCGGCTATCGGTAATGGCCTCGTTTTTGTGCTGCTTCGAATGCGCTGCCTTTTTATGCTTATGGCCGTGCTACGTGTTTAGTATTCGAACTAAATCTCTCGATAGGTGAGCCTGCCTCCGCGATCCCGTTCATCCCGTGGCCGGCATCGGCCTCCGCGATCCCGGCCCGTGCCCATTACTAGTCGCCCCATCCGGTTCGCGTTCGCTCCAATCCCTCTGGTCCGGACTCTTGGCTGACAGTCGTCTCAGTCATCGTGACGCGGGGCCGACCGACATCGATGCCATAGATCCTGGCGCCGTGTGACGGAGGCTCGGATCAGCGCCGGCGCCGGCCGGCCGCCGCTGGGACATATCCCGCCCATTACGGGTGGACTTCCGCGTCGATGTGTCGCGGCCGGGTAATCTGCGCGCGCGCGCGGGCTGACCCATTTGTGGCGCGACTGCGGCGGGCCGCGCGGCGCACGGCGCTGGTCCCCGCCGGCCGCGTCACAGGGAGGGCTGGCTGCATCGAGCACCGTTCGTGGCCGTAGCGTGACGATGGGCGTTTGGGTCGGCGGCGGCCGGGCTGGCTTATATCCGCCCCCGTGATCGTCTGAGTTGAGTTTGAGTGATTTGATTTACGGGACCGGCGGCGGATTTTGTCTAGTGGCGACGCGGCGTTGCTTGCAGGCGGTGCGACTTGTCTGGAGCGGGCTGGGCGGGTCGCTCAGACGTCCAGCGATGTTTTGCATCGCGCCGTCTGGTCCAGCAGCTGTTTGTTTTTGGGACGGCAGCCGTCCCGTCGGGCGTAGCAGACGATCCTATGACCTGCCACGCCTCGGTGTGCGTCCGGTGACAGTTGGTCTGCCGTCCCTCTGAGCCCCCCCCCCCCCCCGCTGTCCCGTCTGACTCGTCCGGTGACGGTCGGTCTGCCGCCCCTCTGAGCCCCCCCCCCCCCCCACGCCGTCCCGTCTGACTGGTGGCAGGGCCCGCCCGGTCAGAGAGCCGCCGCTAGTCAGCCTGTGCCCTGGTGCTGTCCGACCAAATTTTGGTGGTGTGTTGTAGTGCCTGTGTTGTCCGCCGCAGCTGTGTGCCCCCTCACAGAAGCGGTAGCCGCGGCTCCGACAAGCGGCTACTGGTGCGGATTGTTGGACCGCTTGTCGCATGAACTCCTATGTAGCGTATATGTTGGGGTAAGGGTTTTCGCGATGGGTGAGGTGGTTCGCGGGTCACCTAACGCACCGTGACCTGACCTGACCTGACCTGACCTCTGCCTGTCAGGATGCACGATGTCAGTGAATTCCCGAATGGAGTCTGTGTGAGGATAGCCGATGTGTCTGGATAACCGCCGTGTCTGGATCCCGTGATCTAGATAGTGCGTAATGGACATGCTGCAATCGTGATCAGGACGTAACGACCATGACAGTACCGTGATCTGGATGTGGACAATGGCCCCGCCCCGCTGACCTGACCTGACCTGACCTGACCTGACCTGGCCTGGCCTGGCCTTCGCAGTGCATAATGGACATGCTGTGGTCGTGATCAGGACGTAATGACCATGAACGTACCTTGATCTGGATGTGGACATTGGCCCCGCCCCGCTAACCTGACCTGACCTGACCTGGCCTCCGCAGTGCATAATGGACATGCTGTGGTCGTGATCAGGACGTAATGACCATGACCTACCTTGATCTGGATGTGGATAATGGCCCCGTCCCGCTAACCTGACCTGACCTGACCTGACCTGACCTGACCTGACCTGGCCTCTCCGCGTCCGCAGGTGGGCGACATGATCTCCGTGATCGACATGGCGCCGCCGGACGAGTCGGTGTGGTGGCGCGGCAAGCGCGGCTTCGAGGTCGGCTTCTTCCCGTGCGAGTGCGTCCAGCTGATCGACGAGAAGGTGCCGCACCAGCTGGCGTTGCCCGTGCGGCCGCGGCGCGCCGCCACCCTGCAGCCCAGCCGGCCCGTGCTCCGAAAGCACGGCAAGCTGATCGCCTTCTTCAGGTGAGAGAGGCGAATCAGCGAATCGGGGCACCCGCCTGCCTTGCCTGTGGCCTCGGGTCCAGCCGTGGCGTGAGGACGCGTGTCGTCCTCGGTCCGGCCAGCACCCTCCGGTCGGTTCGCACGGCCCGGCCGGCGCCGGCCGCGTGCGACCCGACCCAGGGCCGGGTGGCATTGTTTGGGCGGCGCCCGAGGCGGGTCAGGGCCGGCGGGGCGGCGCTGCGCCGATGGGGAAGTGTGGGCGGCGCTGGCCGGGTACTCCCCGTTGGTGTTGGGAGGCTGGCCTTGCGGTCGGGGCAGGGTCAAACCTCTCCTCCTCCTCCCCGAGAGGGGCTCGGGGTGACACCGAGTTAAAGCAATACCGAGAGTGGTATGGACTGAAATAAACGCATTTGTGAGTGGATCCACAGAAATCACCGCCGTAGAAAAGTAAATTGCGCCCGAGTCCGACGAATCCTTCGTCCCGGTCTCGAACAATGTATTATTACCTGTAACACATGCACGGCTTCTTAACCTCCTTTCCTCTGTGTTGATAGTTGTTGCTCAGTTCCTGGTACTCTTTGGTGCACTGGGGTCAACACTAAAGCCGGCTTTATTTTCCGTGACGCGACCCGACGATTAGCCGAACACCGATCCCAGTCATCACATCACCGGACACCGATCCCAGTCATCAACGGACACCGATCTTAGTCATCACCGGACACCGATCTTAGTCATCGTCGGACACCGATCTTAGTCATCACCGGACACCGATCTTAGTCATCACCGGACACCGATCTTAATCATCGTCGGACACCGACCCCAGTCATCGTCGGACACCGATCGTAGTCATCGTCGGACACCGATCTCAGTCATCACCGGACACCGATCTTAGTCATCACGGGACGACCGCGTCGTATCTGCCGTCTAGCGGCCGGCCAGCCGGCTGGAGCGCGGCCTGGTCCGGCCTCCAGCCGACCGTCGGCGGCCGCTCGGAGCGACCGTCCGTGGCAGGATCGTGGGCCGCTCGGCCGACGCGCACAGCTCGTCACGATCGGCTGTTTATTATTGCGGCCGGCGGCGGAGACACGTGTCCGTCCGGCCCGGCTCCGGACTGACCCCTCCGGTGGGCCTGAGTTCGCACGGTAGCCAGAGTCGGTATCGCCGGAGGTGCCCTCTGCATGGGCGCGTCAATCACGGTTAGCCTGGGTCGAACCTGGACGTGCGAATGGCATCATTTGAGGCCGGAGGTAGGACTCTGACTGAACATGGCAAGCATAGGGTGACGGCTCGTCTCGGGCTCGTCTGGTGCGGCTCATCGTGCAGCAGCGCGACGGCGGCGTGCGGACCCCGGGCGGCAGCAGCGGCCGCGGCAGACGGAGCTTCGCCGGCCGGCCGGCAGGTGGCAGGACAGTCGGGCCGTGAGTGGGCAGACCGGGCGGCTCCCGCAGGACCCGACATCTTCCGGCTCGAGCCGCGCCGTGACGGCGCCGCTGCCGGCTGTCAGCTGCCGACTGACAGGTGGCGGGTGCCGATCGCCGGCGTTGTGACGGCCTCTCGCCCGTCGTCGCCCGCCGCTCGCGCTGTTGGCGGCGCAGCGGCGCTGACAGCTGGCGCGCCCCAATGAGATGCGCGCGGCGGGGGCGGCGCGGCCACCCCGCTTCCCAGCTCCAGTAACGGCCGGCGGGCGCACTGTCGTCGTGCCGGCGTCCTTTGTCCTCGGGCGCGCCGCCGGCGGTCACGGTCGTGTAATCGCATCGGCGACAGCCGGCGGCGGCCATAAAACCCTTTGGCGGCGCTGCCCCTCCTGAAGCGCGCGCCAGTCGCCCTTGTCTCCGCGCCGATCGTCGGGATCGATGCTACGGCGACGCTGGCACAGACCCGGGCCGACTCTGTCATTTGTCTCCCGATGAGACCGGCCGTCTCTCCGTGTGACATGACCCGGATGTCTCATTAACTGATCGGCTTCCTTTTTCGTGTCATAGGCAATCTGGTCCCGCCTTAGCCATGACTGTGCGTTCATAGCACGCATTCGTATTGGTCGATTCTTCCCCCGTTTGCGGGCTGTGCCGGCTGTGAAGCACGCCGGCTCGAGCTCCTAATACTGTTGATAACTAATACTGTTACAACTAATATTGTTCAGGACGTGTGTAGCTGTAGTTTACTACACGGTCTGGCTTCTTCAGCAAAGCGTCGGTCTTTTGTGATTCTGCTGTTTCGAGTGAAGTCCCAGAGCCCATCTCGCCCACTAACGCCGGCCCAGTCCGACCTGTCGTGCATTGTCCCCCGGGGTCCTGTATTGTTCCTGAATTACATATCGGACCAGCTTTTTCCTTTTTTGTCGAGCGCGGCCTCCGTTAGAGATGGCTGTATTCAGTAGGCGCGCGCCCCAGTTTCGAAAGCCCACGAGAATTATAGCATCGGGTCGAATGAACAGCGCCATTCTAAATCCCAAGTTGGCCGCCCCGGCCTCCGAGAAAATCGGGCATGCTGGAAAGGCATTGAAATTTCCCTGGGCCTGCAGGGGCAAAAGGGATCATTTTCACTTTTCGATGTTCTCACGAGGTCGGCAAGGAATTGCTTTATTGCTACCGTTCCGGATGGGGCCTGTTATCGGTTTGGAAATCAGAGTCGCGCGGAAGCTACTGGGCCTGAACTTTGCCCGGTTGGTGAAACTGTACGGGTGTCGGCCGTGTCCGGGAAGCCGAACCGACCTGCCTGAACAGGTCGTGCGAGCTGCCACCATGTGATTGTGATTCGCTTCAACGCACCGCTCGCATGCCCATTCCAGCGTGCCAAAACGTCTCATCAAAACATACCACTAAGGCGAGATGTCTCAGCTGAAGTCTCTGAGGAGGCGTCAATCATTGGAAAATTCCATCTATCCATGGATGGAGGGTCGAAATTACAAAGTTTCAGTGCGGCGTACCCGAAATCACCCGCAAGAAATGTCACATTTCACCCAAAGTCTGCGATACTGACGAGATACCCCAGCCGCTGTCCTGAGTGGCGGCGGGGTGCGCCGCGTCGGCCCGTCGAGCCGCGGCTCGGGGTGTGACTAAACTCCGAGTCTCGCGCCTCCGGACCGAGCCGGTCCGGGCGGCGGCGCGCCCCGCCACGCTGCGTGCCGGCCGGCCGCGGCGTCGTGTGGGCGATGACGGAATATGTATGTGATCGGTCCGACGGCGGCGGTCACGTGACCGGCGCAGCGGCGGGCCCAGCCGCGACCGCGGCGAGGGCGGCGACCCCGGGGCGGGCCTGCCGCCGCCGTCCCCCGCGCGAGAAGCCGGAGAGGGTGACCCGACCGACGAGACGGGGCGGGCAGGAAGGGGGGGGGGGGGGGCGCTGGGCCGACGGAAGTGCGCCGTTGCGTCACCGCCGCCACCGCCGCGGCGCGCCCGTTCTGCCTGGCGGCGCGTTGTAATGGCCCACCGCCGCCGCCGCCGCCGCCGCCGCCGCTGCTGCCGCCGCCGTCGTCGCGGCAGTGTACTGCCGGCGGCCGCAGTCGGTCGGTCCGTCCGTCCGTGCGGCTCGGCGGCGCGGCCTGCCATGGCGCTGCTGGCGGCCGGCCTCGGTGACGTGGTCACCTGTTGCAGGAGCTTCATCCAGACGCGGCCGTCGCGGCGGAAGCTGAAGCAGTCGGGCATCCTGAAGGAGCGCGTGTTCGGCTGCGACCTCGGCGAGCACCTGATGAACACCGGCCGCGACAGTGAGTGCGCCGTGCTGCGGGCGTGTGCCGATGTGCAGACGTGCGATGTGGCTGCGGCGACTGTGGCTCCCGCTAGCCAGCTTATTTCTCTTCTGCGGCGGCGCTCCTTACAGGTCGTGGCCGAACCGATGCCACGTGACTATTCGTGAGCCTCGCGTTGCTGCTGTGATGGCTTCTGCGAGCAGGCCAGCTGCCTGTTTTGTCACCGTGACTCGTGCCGTGCTCAGCCCACGTGGCCCTATAGCCCATATCCCAGTAGTCGCAGTGCTGTGAAGCCCCACTGGTCACCGCGGCTCGGCTCCGCCATCGGCCTTCGTGACCAGTCGCGTGACGGTGCCGTTTCTCCGAACCACCTTGTCCTTGCTGGGCCCGTTTTGGCCTGCCGTCCTGACGTCCGTGCTCTCGTGCGGCGTGTCTGTGCTGTGTTTTTGTGCGCCCCGGTTCATGTTTCACGTCTGGTCTGCGTCTGGTCTGCCGTGCTCTGGTCTCGCGCGCTCCACCCTGTCTCCGCGCCGTGCTGTGCTGTGCCCTGCCGTACTCCGAGGGGGGGGGGGGGGCGCAGCTGTTCGTGGTCTCTGCCACGCATGTTCTCTCATCTTGATCTTGCTCCCCGCCTTGTGTGCGCAGCGACGCATTGGCGACACGGTGCGTGGCGGCCAATGCGCAGCCACTCACTGGCTGACCGGGCCCCGTGTGTGACATGTCGCCCTGTCCGGCCCGCAGTTCCGGTGGTGTTGCGCAGCTGCGCCGAGTTCATCGAGTCGCACGGCATCGTCGACGGCATCTACCGCCTGTCGGGCGTCAACTCCAACATCCAGCGGCTGAGGTGGGCGCCTCGGGCGCGGCCGCCCGAACCGGGCGGTCGGCGAGAACGTCGGACGGGCGCTCGCCCGATGATCAGAGCTCCCCTGCTGACTCACAGCGCTACCGTGGGGGATTCGCGCGGATTGCATCAACCGTCGGGGCGGTGTGGCGCACACGCCGCCGGCTGGGGAGTCCCGGGGGACCGGCGCGGCGCGCGGGCACTGCCGGCGCCGTCTGGGCGGGGCTAACGGCACACGGCCGGTCCCACCCCGCGCCGGGCGCACGGCCGGCACCGCACGCCGGCTGCCGGTGGTGGTGGTTGGTCAGTGGTCTAGGGGGGGGAGGGGGACCGTGATTGGTCGCGGGGCAGCTGTGGTCGATTGGTATAGCGCGTACGCAAGGCTCGCGCAGCCAGGACTGTCGCCTCCCTGAGGTGGGCACCACGTGCTGAAGAACGACGGCATGATCGGCGGATAGTCGCCAGTTGCGGTTACCGAGTTGCCGGTTACCGTGGCGTCTGCGGCGCGCGGCCCGGGACCCGAGCCCGGTTCCAGGACGTGTGGTGTGATAAGGGCCCATGTGGCGCCTTCGTTCCCGGTGTTGGCTCGCCCGCGCACGTTGTCCCAGTGAGCCGCCGCTGTATGGATGATGCGCTGTGCGGGCCGGGCGCGCCCCCCGAGCTGCGAACATTGAATCCCATTGTTTTCGACCCTGAGCGGATAGGAACTTGGTGTCGGTGGTTACGTGGAATGTTTGTCGGAAGTACCGTCGCCCCGAGGCTGCCAAATGGGAACTGACGTGTCGTTTGTTTGGATTGTCGCGATTTTAGCACCGAATTCAAAATCATTCAGTGCAAATTTCGGCATTCCCCGCACATAATCGACAAGTGTTTGCCGCGTCGTACCCCTCAGCCGTATCGTCCCTCTCGGCCGTGCCGCTCCTTTCCGCCGCGAGGGCCCTGCTGACAGTGTCGGCGCTCTCCACCATGTTGTTCCCTATGTCGCCGCCCTCTGCCGCCTGCGCCGCTGTCGGCTGACGTGCGCCGCGCCGCCCGGCAGGAACACGTTCGACGAGGACCGGGTGCCGGACCTGACGGAGCCCAGCGTGCGCCAGGACATCCACAGCGTCTCCTGCCTGCTGAAGCAGTACCTGCGCGAGCTGCCCAACCCGCTGCTCACCTACCAGCTGTACGACAAGTTCGTGGCCGCCGTCCAGAGCAGCGACGACCAGCGGCTGCTGCGCATGCGCGACGTGGTCCAGCAGCTGCCGCCGCCCCACTACAGGTGAGGTGCTGGTGCTGGTGCTGGTGGGCGATGTTCGCGGCTGTCGACGTGACCGGCTCCGTCCAGTGAATGCTGACGAGGCCGTTGTGAGATTGCCGTGGTTGTCGCGCGGTGGGCTAATCGCGAGTAGTGATTGGGGGTGACTGGATGATCCTGCCGCCAGTCGGGAGACGGCAGCTGCCAGCTGCTGGTGGTGCCGCACGGTCCGACGTCGTGGTCCGCGTTACGGCCTGGTTATTTAACCGCACTATGCCGATAACTTGATTCCGATAATGATCCCTATGGAAGTCATTATATCCGCCACGCTAATGATGGCTGTATCCGGTGTTTGTGATTCGTTGACGAGGGCGCAGCCATCACTACGGTACAACGTGAAAAACGATGTTCTTGTGTTCCGTCGTAAAGCGCACCACAGCCGAGTGGCTTGTAACCACGCCACGCACTTGTGGCACTTCGGGTGTAGTTGTCACAGCAGCTGCGACGGCCATCGCGCCGCGGCGGCCGCCCCAGCTGGACGCGGTGCCTGTGAGAGGCACGCCCCGGTGCGTCTTTCACTCGTGACCTGACCTGACCTGACCTGACCTGACCTGACCTGACTGACCTGGTGTGGTGTCGCTGCAGGACGCTGGAGTACCTGATCCGACACCTGTCGCGGGTGTCGGCGCACGGCCACAGCACCGGCATGACGCCCAAAAACCTGGCCATCGTCTGGGCGCCCAACCTGGTGCGCAGCAAGGAGCTGGAGGTGGGCGGCGTGGCGGCGCTACAGGTCAGTCGGCGCGCCGGCGGGAGCGGGAGGGGGGCGGGGCTGGGGGGAGGGTTGTCGGGCCAGTGGTGGATGGTGTGGAGGCTGAGGGGTGGCTCGGGAGTAGCATGGTGGGTTGGTCTGTGTGTGTGTGGTGGTCGGTTCAGAGTGGTCTGATGACCAGGCTGTGGGGCGCTATGCCGATCTGACCCGGGGAGGGTCGGGGATGGGACTCTAAAGGGTTGTGATCACACTGGCGAGCTTCAGTGGACGATTTGTGTGAGGTAAAGTGGTGGACCTTTGCTAAAGAACAGTCAGTAGTGATGGTACAACACAGCTGCAACGTACGTAACCTGTCTTCATTATGATTACTACTGCGCTGTTATATTCAACGTCAATAATATGTATACAGTTTTCTTACGGTGCCGTTGTCATTGCGGAAAATGCGTCCGGGTGGACAGACCTAAGAATGGTCGTGGAGATGGTGTACAATTTCCCACGATGTAGCAGTATGAATGCATCTCCCCGCCATGGCTCAAGGCCATCCATCCTGAGATGGCCGTCGAGCACGCCGTTGATGGTGGTGCTGGGTTGGCGCGGTTGGTGCGTGAGGCGTGCATGGGTCGTCCGCTCGTTAGTATGTGGCCCAAGGGCGGCGGGCCATGTGGCCTGGTGTGGCCGTTTATCCGCCGTTAGCAGCCCGTTGCGGCGGGCGGTGAGTCATGTTAACGCATGTCGATTGCGACGGCCCCACGGCAGGCGACATTCCCGGCTATAAACATGGTGGTGGCGGGGCGCCGGGCCGACAGATACGACGCCTCGCCTTAATGTGTGTGTGTGTGTGTATGTGCGGCGGTTTTCGCTGCTTGTGTCGGGGCCGGGCCGCCCAGCGGTTTTCGCCGCTGCGTCGGGACCGGGCCGTCCAGCGGTTTTCGCCGCTGTGTCAGACCGCGGGCCGCCCACCGGTTTTCCGCTGCTGTGTCGGGACCGAGCCGTCCAAGCGGTTTTTCGCTGCTGTGTCGGGGACCGAGCCGTCCAGCGGTTTTCGCCGGCCGTGTCGGGGACCGGGGCCGTCCCCGTCGAATGCCCGCCTGGGCGCGCTCATCCGCTCCCGATGCGTTCGGTACCGAACCCGTGAGCCGTGGTAGTGTGGGCCGCGTCTGAAGGCGGCTGGCTTCTTGTTCGCAGCTCCTGAGGGATGATCACAGCCACGTGACAAGCAGCGTCGTCGGCGCTCTAGGCTTACGTTGGCAGGAGAGTTGTTGGCTGGTTATCGGCTTGTAATGTAACTATAGGCGGCCCGTGAGCTCCATCGTTTGTCGCCAGCTGTGGGAGTTGGATACACTGGCACCACCAGAACTACTTCTGCGACGCGCGGAAGCACTTATCGCTGACTTTGCACACATTCACGCGGTAACCTCTGGCTGCGGCCTCGCGCCTGGCGAACGGCCACCTCATCTCCCTGCTGACCAGCTGACCGGCCACGTCCGTCGCCAGGGCGTCGGCATCCAGGCGGTGGTGGTGGAGTACCTGATCCGCTACTGCGAGCTCATCTTCAGCGACAAGCTGCCGGCGTTCTGCCCGGACATGGCGCCGCAGACGCGCACGCCGAAGCGCTCGCGGCCCAAGTCGCTGGCCATCTCCACCCCGACCAAGCTGCTCAGCCTGGAGGAGGCCCGCTCGCGCGCCCTCGGCGTCTCCGCCAAGGCTGACCAGAAATACATCGAAGTCGGTGGGTGCCGCGCGCGGGCGCTCGCTTCCGTCGGGTTCTCCTCATTTGATGCTGCCTTCTGCGCACCCGAGTCGTTTTGGTTCGTTTCTGTTAAGTGACTAGGCATTCGCCATTGCATCATCAGGCTTGGTATATCGCCGTGTAAACGCTGTCTTCGCCCCGCGTAGTGAGCCTGCGCTCTTAGCCCGCGCTTGCGGGGCTGAATACATGGTCGGCATATGACCACGGTAGTGGGCGCGCCATGAAGCTCAAACCGATACCATCATCATCATCAGGGCTAAAGACGCACGCGCGCGCACTGGGCTCCCTGCGGCGCTCCTGTTGAATGGGGCCCCGCCGATGGTGCCCCGCCCAGGCGTGCCCCGTTCGCAAGTTCAGTGTGGGGCTAGCGTGCTCCTACAGTGCCCTGGGGCGGTCAACCCTGAGTGTGTCATCTGCCCCGGTCAGTGGGTCAGCCACAGTGGACGCCTCCGCTGCCGGTAGTGGGAGAGAGCGAGCTCGCCGTGCCCGTGCCCCCTCCGCGCCGGTACGGTGGCGTCCCCGGCCGCGGCCCAGCCAGCCCCGTCCGGCTGTGGCTTGGGCTCCGCGCCGCTCGGACTTTGGCCGTGGCTTTCCGTGTGGCGGCTTTTGCGGCGACGTGGCGGCGCAGTAGCATTATTTTTATCTGCCGGTTTCCTGTTTGTTTGCCGCCGCGCTGCTGCCCATTAGGCGTTGTTTTGCGGGTGTGCTGTTTGTTTTTAGACGCAGCGAGGCGGTGTGCCATGACGAATTGTCCTCCATCTCACCGGCGTTATTGTTCTAACAGCAGCTGTTGGTTTGGCTGGCGGATGTGATTGACTGGCCGGGGCCGTGTGTGCGGTGGTTTGTCTGCTGGAGAGTTGTGGCCGCGTGATGGCGTCAGCTGTGTTATGTTTAACCGGCGGCAGTGCTGTTGACTCGGCCATGGGCCAATTCAATAACCCCATTCAGGCCTCAGGCAAAAAGGTACACCGTAACAGCAAACATTGGGGGCGCGGCGGGTTTGGGCTGCATGATCGAAATACGGCAGTTCATTTGTCGTTTTCATGGCGGAACCGACGTATTTTTCACATTGTTCTCGATGTCACGGGCCACGACCATGCCTGCAATCCGCGCCACCTTTTTGTCTCCGCCGCGGCTGTCGCGCCATGTGCCCATGCGTGTCAGCCTCACCCTCTAAGTGCGGTTTGACCCGCACCGCCCGTTTGGCCGGCCCCGACTGCGACCTGCCGGTGACCCGCCGTGCGCTGGTGCCGCAGGCGGCGGCCCGGCCACGCTACCCACCAAGTACCACACGGTGATCGAGCTGCCGGCGCGCAAGAGCGGCTCGCTCAAGTTCCGCCGCTCGCCGCTGGGGTGGCGCTCCCTGTTCCGCGGCCGGCCGGCCAAGCCGCACCTGCGCAAGGGCTCGGAGCCCATCGACATCGCTCTGACGGTGGGTGCCGCGCCGGGGTGTGGGTGTGTGAGGTGGGCGACGTGCTGAGATGGCGGTGAAGGGACCTCGCAGAGGCTGGTGGGACGCCGGGGGGGGGGGGGGAGGGGACACGGCCGGTGAGGGTACCTCGCAGAGACTGATGGAACGCCGCTGGAAGAGACACGGCCGGTGAGGGGACCTCGCAGAGACTCTTGGGACGCCGGAGGATGAGACACGGCCGGTGAGGGGACCTCGCAGAGACTGGTGAGACGCCGGGTGAGGGGACACGGCCGGTGAGGGGACCTCGCAGAGACTGGCCGCCGCCGCCAGGACTTGCCCCCGGCTATTGTAAAGCCCGGAAGACCAGCCTACAACATAGCAACACTTCCATAGGTAGATGTGTCGGTGTTCTCGTCGGAAGGCAACGCACGGCTTTTGGTGGACCGTTAACGGCCGTCTCAAAATCGCACGACGGCGGTGCTTCGCATTGTGGCCAGGTGTTTGTCAAACCACATTTAGAGACCCGTCGCCGTCTGTGTAGAGCTGTCAGCGCGGCGTGTGCCGGTCGTACCTCGCTGGCGCGCCCGTGCTGGACGACTCAGCACCTGTCGGCGTGTGACGGGGGTCTGTCAGTGATCACCGACGGCGCTGACGCCGCTAAGCGCCGCCGCCGCCGCCGAACCGCGCACCGCTGGCCCGTGCTGTGCGCCGTCGCACTGTGAGCGCGCCTGACGACGCGTGCCGTGTGCCCCGACCGCAGGACAAGACCCTGACCGAGTCGGACCTGACCCAGAGTCGGGTGCGGACGCGCCGCCTGCGCTCCGTCAAGTCGGCCGACTCGCTCGTCTCCATGTGCCACGCTGAGAACAAGCGCGGCTCCATGGTAAGCACGTGGGGAGCGGCTAGCCGGCCGGCCTGACAGGCGCCGGCCGGCCGGCTGAGCGGCGGCTGCGCAGGAGCAGTTTTATGAGGGCTTGATGGCATAAGTACTGTAATAAGTGTTGTGGACGTGTTGTTACGACTGCCCCTGTTGTGAGGCGTTGCGCGTCTCAGTGATGTTTGATCACCGGGTCATGAAATCACATATCAAGCCTGTTCTCGTTAGACGTTCAGGCACCTCAATGAAACGTCCTAGGCGATAGCACCTATTCGCCGGGTGTACTTTGGGGGTCATCTCTCCGTAGAGAGTTCCGTGTGTTGTTTGGGCTGCGCGTCAGCTTCAGCCCAGCCTGAGCTGGCCGCGGCACCGACGGCGGCCGCTGACCGCCGCTGCCTTCGCTGCAGATGATGGACCCGAGCCCGAGCCCAGCCACGCTGCCGGCGTCGGCGCCGCCGGCCGAGGCGGCCCGCTCCGCCTCCGAGTCGGACACGCCCGACACGGACCCGGCCGTGCGCGCGCACGCCCGCTCCGTCTCGCACGACTCCTACTTCAACAACCTGCTGGAGCTGAAGCTGCCCTTCTGCGACGACCGGCTGGAGGAGGAGGACGAGGAGCTGCAGACGCAGTACTGCTTTGACGACAGCGACATGCGCGTCTTCAGCGAGGACGAGACGATGCGCGCCACCGACTCGGCCGGCTGGCGCGGTCGCATCCGCCAGCTGACGTCGCCGCCGCGCGTGCGGCGCGCCGCGCGGGGCGCCGATGAGGGCGGCGTGAAGCGCACGGCGCCCGGCTCGTTCCGCGAGAAGGTGCTATCGGCGCTGAGCCCGGGCGCGCGGCGCCGGGCCGAGGAGGCGGCCGCCGCTGAGCCAGGCCTCTCGCCGCGCGTCAAGGTGCGCAAGAAGGCGTCGGTCGAGACGCTGACGGGCTCCGAGTCGACCAGCGTGGACGTGTCGTCGCTGCGGACGGACGGCTCGGGCGCGGCGACGCTCTCGGCGGACAGCGCGCCGGCGCCGGCGCCCGCCCCCGCCCCGGCGCCGGCGCCACCGCAGCCGCCGCCGCAGCCGCCGGCCGGCCGCCAGGTGGTGGCGGAGGTGCACGTGTCGCCGGAGCCGAGTACGTGCCAGGACATCATCCTGCTGAGTCCGATCAGCGAGTGCACGGCATCGAGCGCCGAACACTACGGTCGGCCGTCGGCCGGCGACGCCGTCGCCGACGACGAGGTGACCGAGTGTGACGTGTCCGAGATCCAGGACTCTGACGGCGAGCTGGCGCCGCCGGCCGCCGGCGCGTCCAACCGCATCTCCACGCTGGTGCCCGAGGCGCTGGAGCTGCTCGACCGCCGGCTCAACTCGGAGAGCTTCCGCCGCGCCGTGGCGGCCGACGCGGCGCGCACGCCCGACGACGCCGACGAGGCGGGCGCGTACGAGAACGTGACGCCGGCGGCGGACGGGCCGTGCGACCCGCTGCCGGAGCTCGAGTACGAGCCGGTGGAGTTCGCGGCGGGGGTGGCGGCGGGCGCCGAGCGCGACGCGGAGCTGTACGAGAACGAGGCGTTTGGCGGCGTGGCGGAGCGGACGCCGGAGCCCGGGCTCGCCGCGGACGAGAACGGCGACGAGCGCGTGTACGAGAACGTCGAGCCGGCGGCGGTCGGCGACGCCGTGTACCAGCAGGTGCGCGTGTTCCGGCACTCGCTGGAGGAGGTGAACGCGCTGGTGGGCGCCGCGCCGCCGACGCCGACGCCGCTGGACCCGCCGCCGCCGGCGATGCCGTCGGTGCGTCGTTCGTTCATCGAGTGTCCGGCGCAGGCAGCGGGCAGCGGCGGCTCGCCGACGCGCTCCTGTCCGACCTTCTCGGACGGCGGCAGCACGCCCAGCCCGACGGACGTGCGCTACAGCCAGCTGAGCTCGGCGGCGAGCTCGCCCGAGCGGCTCCCCGCCTCGGCCGACATCACCACGGCCGCCACGTGCTCGGACACGCTCGACGAGCGGCCGCTGCCGTCCGAGGCCGAGCTGCTGTCGGCGGCGTCGCCCGAGCCGCGCGGACGGCCGCCGGCCGCCGGCGTGGCGTCATCGAACGCGGGTGTGACGTCACCCGAGCGGCCGGCGGCGGCGCCGCCGCAGAGGGAACCTGCGGTGCCGCCGGTGTCGGCTGGTGGTGACGGCGGGACCTCGCCGGCGGTGTTGGACACAGAAGCTGCTGTGTCCGCGCCGGGAGGGTCGGCGTCGGCCGGCGCGGCGCCCGAGTTTCGGGCTTCGGCCGCAGACGGACAGCCGGCCGCGGAGCGCGCCGCCGCTCCGGCGTCGCCGCTGGCAGCGGCGCCGGCCGTGTCCCCGGAGGACACGCCCACCGGTAGCCCAGAACCACCGGTCCCGGCGGCCGCGCCGGAGGTGTGGGATGACCGGCCCTGCGCCGGTGAAGCCGAGGCGAGAGGCGCGTCGCCGTGTCAGTTTGAGCCAGTGGCTGTGGATGCCCGCGGGCTGGATGGCGCGCCGGAGACGGCGCCAATGTGCAGCGAAGTGACTCAAGCTGAAAACCACAACCAGGGAGCCGAAGATATGACGCGAGATCTGCTCGGTGACGATGTGCCAGCGTCCCCGGAATATTGTGTTGGCCAGGCTGAAGGCGCTAATGCGAGGCCTCTTTCTCTGGAGTTCGCAGTGCCGTCTGAAGATATTAGCTTTCAGGGAGTATCCGCTGGGAATCTGACGTCTCCGGAATCTGTAGGGTCACCCGGAGCCTTGTTCGCGCAGGGATTCCCGGCCGCTCCCCAAGCCGTGCTGCTGTGTGAGCCGGAGTCCGGCGCAGAGTTGCTGTCTCCTAGCCCCCTGCCGCCGCCCGAGGAGGCGCTGCTGCCGCAGGGTCCAGACCCCGCGCCACTCCGTCATGGTGCACCCGAGCGCGGCACGGACCACGAGGGGGACGACGGTCCCGGGGCTGAGGCCACGCCCGAAGTCTTGCCCTGTGCACTCGCGCCGGCCGGTTCCGACGATCCGACCTCGCCCGTCGAGGGCCGCTCCCACGCGGTCCGAAGGGTCGCAGACGGTCCGGCGGCGGCCCTGGCTGCGGCGGCGGACGAAGAGCGGTCCCGCGCCGCCGCCGACCGTGCCGGCCACTCGCTGTACGGCCTGGACCTGGTGGAGGCCGTGGTGACGGCGCGGCCCGTGGCCGTCGTGGACGCCGCCTCGCCGGAGCCGCCGTCGCGGCCGAAGGCAGCCGAGCGGTGTCGAGACGCCGCCGCCGGCCGCGAGATGGGCGAGATGACCGCCGCCGCGCGGCCGGTGCTTGCCAGCGCGTCGTCCGTTGCCGACGATGGCGTGGCGGGCGCCACCACGCCGCCCTCTGTCGGGAGCACGCCGGAGGACGAGCAGAGGCCGGCGTCGGCGCTGCTGACGCCCGAGGAGGCGGCCGTGGCGCGGCCGCAGACCGTCACAGTTCGCTCCACGTCGCAGAGCGTAATGGTGCAGTCGTCGCCGGCCGGCCGCTCGGCGCCGGTCACGATCCCCGGTGGAGACGCGGAGGTAACGGAGCGGCGTGCGCGCGCCGCCGGCCGCGCGGCGGCCAGCTGGCCGGGCCCCGGCGGCGGCGGCAGCGCGGCACGGCCGGCCGAGCCGGCGCCGGCCTGGCTGCGGTCGGACCTGCGCAGGCTCAGCGACCGGCGCGCCAGCGTCAAGCAGCTGCTCTCCAAGTTTGAGGTCAAGGAGGAGGAGGAGGCGACCGAGGCGGCGGCGGAGGCGGCGCCGGTGGAGGCGGGCCGGCAGGCGCCGCCGGCGGCAGCGGCGGTGGTGCAGGAGCCGACGCCGAACACCAGGAAGACGTCCCTGCCCGAGCGACCGCGCTACCTGTTCACGCCGAAGCCGTTCCAACGGCAGATGTCGGACCAGACGGCGGCGCGGCCGCGGCCCGAGTCGGCGGCAGCAGCGGCGCGCGTCAGTCCCCTGTCCTCGCCCGCTGCCGTTCACATCACGGCCAACCCTCTGCACGCGGCAGCCGAGCGGCTGGCGCGCGTCCAGATCGCCGCCGACCCCGCAGCCGTCGCGCCCTCAAACGATACGGCTGCGCGACCGAACGGCCTGCTGCCGGGCGAGGCGGAGCCGGCGGCGCGCGGCTCGCTCAGCCCGCTGCGCGTCGGCTCGGTGCCGAGCCAGGAGCTGCGCGTCAGCTCCGTGCCCAGCCGGCCGGCGGAGGAGGCGGCGCGGTCAGACCTGCCGCGCCGCGGCCCGTCGGCCGACCGCGAGGTCGATGACGTGTTCGAGGCGGACGGGCCGCCGTCGCCGACGGCCGCGGCTGCCGACGCGGCGGAGCGGGCGGAAGTACGGGCGGCGCAGCAGTCGCAGGCGACGGTGGTGGAGGGGCGACTGGTGCTCGGGCTGGACCCGACCGCGCGGGAGAGAATTGAGCGCTACAAGCAGGAGCGCCGAAGTCTGCTCAGGGAGAAATACAAGACGGAGAGCTTCAAGCGCGAGAAGACCGAGGTGATGATGGACCGGCGCCGGCCGGACGGCGAGCGCCGCGCGGGCGACGCCAAATCACCGTCACCACCGCGACGCGCCGAGCCGCTGCGGCGCTCCGACAGCGAGGTGGCGGCGCCGGCCGAGCGGCGCGCCGCGCGTCCGGCTGTGGCGGCGGCGCCGCCGGCCGCCGCTCCGTTCCGGCGCACCGCGAGCCTGCGCAGCCCCGGCCAGGAGAGCGCGCCGCTGCCGGGTCTAGCTGTCCCCTCCGCCGCCGCCGCCGCCGCTGCCCCGGCTGACGCGACGGTCAGTGTGAATGACCGGCTGGCGGCGGCCCGGGAGCGGGTCTCGCAGCTGCGAGGCCAAGAGACGGCGCCGGCGCGCGATCCCACAGAGGATGTGAACGTGCGGGAGCAGGTGGCGGGCTGGAGCCGCGGCCAGAGGGCGCTACAGCGGCCGGCCGCAGCCAGCGCCGCCGTCAGCGTCCGAGCGCAGGCCGCCGACCCCGGCAAGATTCGCAACATCGCCGCCAAGTTCGAGGAGACGGCCGAGGGCGCGCGCAAGACCAACTACGTGTCGACCGTGTAGCGATCCCACTCATTCCAGACGACATGCAATTCATGTACTCTCACGTTAACGTTCGGCGTGCTTTGTGCCTGCGAGAGCACGACGGAGCCGTGTCATTTGTATTAGAGGCCTGTGCCGTCGGCGCGGGCGGATCATCGATTGTGTTCACCCTTCTTTACACTTGTTCATAATTTGCGCCTTGACTGTCATGCGCCGCCGTGTTGTGACAATATCGATTTGCTCATCTCGTGTTTTTGATTTGTTGCGCTCGTATTTTGTGAACAGTGTTCCGCCATGTTTTGTGGATGTTGCCAAAGAGAGCATGGAATCTGTGACTGGACTGGAATGGGGCGTCGACAATATGTCAGGTATTGTGCCACTGAACTGATTTTGTATATAAGCTTGCTGCTTTTATTTATGTAAGGAAGTGACTGAACGGTGCTTACATAAACAATAGTTGCCAAGACTGTGTTTGTAAGAAACGAAGCAGGCGGCGCCCCAGGCGCTAATGACGCGGTCTACATTCTGAAGCCCTACATCCTTAATATCAGTGTCAGAAACTAGCCTGCGCAACGCTGTGTTTGCGGACCATGTCAACCGCCGGAGAATCACGCCAAGACGTGAGTGCCTTACGGTGTCCGACGGGAACGATCCAAGCCCGGGTGGAGCGACAGCGAGGTGCTAGCGCTTTCGGAGCCCTGCACAGACGCGGTACACGGGTCCGTGCGCGCGCTCCGGAAGCATCCATCGACGTCGTCGCGTGGGCGATGGGCGTGCACGACACCGCACTGTCCGTCCGTCGGCGGTGTGACCGGTACGGGTCCGTGCACACGCTCCGGAAGCATCCGTCGGCGTCGCTGCCGCGTGGGCGGTGAGCGCACACGTCACTGCGCCGTCTGTCGGTGGCGGTCTGGTGGGTCCGACGGGATGGCGCCGCTAGAGTCTTGCAGATAACGCAGGTCAGAGCTCAGCGCAGAGCGGGGCGGTCCGAGCAGTTTCAGGGCACCTGTACCATCCACCTCAGCGGTGAGTGGAGCTCAACTCGCGATCGTGTGGTGCAGACAGGTTGCCAGGTATGTCGAGCTTGATCTATGCATAGCACGCAGGAACGATATATCTGATTTTCATTTCTAACGAGGGGAGAGACGGGGAAGAGTATGAGAGGGTAGCGGATGGACTGTACTCGGGGCGGGGTCGCTGCCCGCCGCCAGCTAATCGCCCGGCATGCGTCGTGGAGGGCGTTATCAGTGCTGGGTGTCCAGGCACATGTCACAATTCCCTGAGACACATCCGCGCTGGCCGCTTATCGACCTCGCGCCAGACACGTCTCGCAGCTGCAGATAAGGTGGTAACTGGGAGCGAAAAATCTGGTTCCCTGTGCGCGGAGCAACAACTGCGGCCGACGCGAGTGCTTGCATTGGGTGGTGGTGGTGGGATGCTGGTCATTTCTGAGCGCGGTGGCACGAATTGTTTGTCTTGTTTGCAGTGATCTGTTGAGTCCCAGCGACAAGACTGCGTAAGTGTGCGTACCCCGAACATAAGGAACGTGGTACGTAGACAAAATTGACGTTATCGACATAACACATTTTGGAAATGGCTGTGGAACGAATTCAGCGCCTCGAGTGGCCCTCCACCCATTTCCAAAAAGTTACGCTTGGAAACGCTGTTTGTGACGGAAAGTGAAGCTATTTTGCTGCAGATGGCTGACAAGTCAAGTACCCTGAATACCCTGCAACTGGCTACCTCCTAGGCGTCTCATCAGGGGGGGGGGGGGGGGAGCGCCGAGCCGTTCCCCATTTGGCCCACGGCGGCACCCCTCCCCCGGCACCAGTTGCAGCCCCTTATATCCGTTCGGTCATCAGGTATGATCAGGCCTATAACAATCTGCAATCCGATCAGTTGACTGGGCCATTAATTTTAGTCTCCGATTACTCGATAACCCAGTTTAAAATCATTTCAACTCTTTACAAATATGCATCTAAACAATGCCTTCATTCGCGTTTCTGATATTAGCAATAGATGCCGCCACATGTTTTTTGTCCGTTCTGGAAATCAACAGCTGACGGTGTGGACGCACTCAGCGCAGGGGATTCAAAACACTGCTTTGTTTTCGGTGAGAGGGGTGACGGTGTGATTGGGGAATTCGGTAAGCTCATGTGTGGGGTCTTGGGGATATTGTGTGGGCACTGTCGGGACGTTTGGTGACAGGTATGTGTATGGGCTTGTCTCATGCCATTTGGAGGGCTGCTGTCAGTTTAATGGTCATAGACTTACTGTTTCCATTGGCTTTACTGCAATCTCTAGCTTTCTTCCACCTCATTTTGAACCTTGCTTGGTACCAACCAGTCAATTTGGTTCATGCTTGGGTGTTCAGAAAGGTGCAAAATGTTATGTTGATTCTTATCCTGTAAGCAGACTCATTGTGGTACTAGCTATCTTTTGTATGAATATATGTATATATATATATATATGTATATATATATGTATATATATATATATATATATATATATATATATATATATCTGTGTGTGTGTGTGTGTGTGTGTGTGTGTGTGTGTGTGTGTGTGTGCTGTGTGTGTGGTGTGCGTGTGCGTGTGCGTGTGTGTGTGTGTGTGTGTGGTGTGTATATACATATGTGCTCTTAAGCTTTAAAAGCTCTATTTCATAAATCCTTGCAAATTGGAAAATTTGATCTTCACCTCAGATTTTACAGTGATATCCAGTTCATACCCCTCAGCTGTTGCTCATTCTTGAATTAGTTCAATCCTCATCAGCCTGTCAGAAGCATAGTTGCCTCCACAGTTGACACTGATTCCATTTTGGTTTTTATGCATTTCCACTTTTGGATGGTTTAGATTTCCAGTTGTATTATTCTAGTGCATGAGCATCACCAGAGGTTGATGCCTCTAGTCTGGCTAGTGGCATGGGGATCTAGCTGATGCTGAGAGAGATCTAAGCATGGTCTGCAACCAAGCTGCAGAAATGGTAGGATAGAGGCTGGTGAGCACATACAATCTCAGTGCTACCAGACTCGAGTGAACCCTATCTGCCATTGGTGATGTCCCTGCCCTTCTTAAACCAATGTCAGAGACATGCTTGCCAGGTGCAATGAATCACTAACAACATCCAAGTTTGACATGTGGTGGAGTCAAAAGAACTTTCTTTAAATAACATTGGTAAGCCAGGTGATAATGCAGGCATTCAAGACTGCTAATGGATGACATGGGGGAGGATGAAAACTGATGATTTCAGGGCTAAAGTCTTCAAATAGTATGACCACTGATAGTGCTAGCTTCTCCATCCTCCAGTGGTCATGTTCTTAATCATTCTTCTTGCCAATATTAGGCTTCCACTTTCCATATAGGCCTTGAGCTATTACCTTACCCCAAGTAGCCAAACTAGGGGTATTTTTCTAAGTCCTGAATGTAAATAGTGCAGAAACCTAAGTGTTTGGGAATGAATTGTGCCATGCCATGCCATGTAACAGATGCCTTTTGTAACTGTTCCTCCTTCTTGTGGGATCCATTTTGGGATGTCAGTGTGCAATTTAAATGGTCTTGTGGTTACAGGACTCTGGTTATTTTACATTATGTAAGACAATATTTGTATTTTGTGGCAGATGCTGGTTGAATAGTTGAGTAAAATAAGCTACCCCCATGACATTTCACAGATGTAGTATTACAGGATGAGCATTGGGAAAGATATCACAGAGTTTGCAGTTGCTCACTACAAAGAAAGCTCCGCACTTAATAGCCAGCCATTTAAATGGAATAACCAGCATCATTGCCAGCTGCCCACCTGATCAACTAAACACACAGGTATTCTTCTTCCAGTTTTATCTAAGAACAAGAAAGGGCAACAATGGGTGTCAGGACAGGGATGAGTGGAAGCTTGGCTGAAAAGCAGCCCTGGCCTTCCAGTGTAAGTTCCAGCATTTTTTTTTCTCAAATTGTTTTGATATATGTGTTGATGTGAATGCTAGTGTGAATGAAAATTTGTGAATGTCAATGTCATTATGAAAGTGATGATTGTAAAAGTATGTGGATGTGACCTCGACGCTGTCCTCCACATCGCTGCCTGGTTGCTGGCAGCACAGCACCCCTTGCTTGGATTTCACCATTCACATCCCACATCGCCCTGTTCGTGGCCATTGGCCAGAGCCCCCCACCAGTATGTGTCGGCGCACGTTGTGACGAAGCCGTCGGGGTCTCGGCGCCGCCCTCAGGCCGCGTCCGAGCCGTTGACGGAAACGTACCGGACTACTGTGGACGCCCCCGACGCCAGGTAACGGCGCCGCCGCGTGCGTGCGTGCGTACGTGCGTGTAGAGGAAGACTTGTCAGCTTTCTTGTGGCTGCTGTTGGCATTGCTCGCTGTCGTTAGGCTGTGCAGAGACGTCGCTGCTGGGGCACATTCGTTTTGGGCGCGGATTGCCACTCCATGCGGATCAAACGTTTTAGCCCGTTGGAACCAACTAGCTGTGGCTTGTCGATATCAGAGTCTCTTTGAGTCTGTGCTTCAACAACCTCACGTCCTGCACGGTGCACTGCTGACGTCAGTCTCAAATTCGAACGCAATGCAATACATGAGTAACATGCTTCACAATTGAATGAATTTTGAATGATTTGTTGAAACTGAGTTTTACAGTTAAGTGCTTACCATTCCATTTTGAGAGCCAGTTCGACGTTCCGTTTAGTGCTTGTGGGTTGTGAGTGTGGTATTGGTCACATATTGGTTGTGTCACGTTGTAGTCGAGAAATTACACCGAAAGCTAGTCAGCTGAAAATGGAGGGCACAGTTTTATAGTGTGTGAGTTACGCCTTCCCGCGCATATCAAGAAAGCCAGCTTTCTGCTCGCTTTGATATGATTTTGAGGGTGCCGATAGCGTCATGGCTACGTTGTGCGTCTGGAGCGGGACCGAGTGTGCGGGGTTAGATTCCAGCTACGCCTACGCTTCCCGTCAGGGTGAGAGGCGGGTGCCGCCATGTGACGTCAGCAGCTGAGTGCGCCGTGAAGACCCAGCGGCAACAACGTATTGCGGCCATGGCTTGTCACAGTATTTGGAGTCTGCTCACTCACTTGTCTATTTTGTTTCTGCCTTGCGTCGAACCTTATGGCGTGGTGAATAGCGCGTGCTACGTGTTTTCACGCTATCGCCTGTTTTATGGTAATCCATATTTCCTGTTCAAGTCAGGGTGCACAGTTATTTTTTAGATGAGTGATCGCACATACTGTACGGATCGTGCGACCAAAGCTAATGTATTTTTTTAGCGGATTGGGGTGTCTGGCTTTTTGGGTGTCTTCTGAAATAGGACTTCGATTCAACTTTGCCTAAATTGTAAATGTACCTGCGCAAATCACAAGTCGCCATTCGTATTTAAGTGAGCGGGCCTATCAAGACACTTTCTATAAAGATTCCAAGAGACAATCGTAACTTTAAAAAGTAACTCGTCTGCTCCAACAGCCGCAAGAACGGCAATCTTTCCACCCTGCGCTGTCTGTATGGAGTTGACCACTCCGCAACGGTATGACGTAAAGCGTTGACCTCATTTACTTGTCCAGATGGTGTGGTAGTGAGAGTGCCGGAAGCTACCACGGGACCCGCGAGAGAGGGGGGGGGGGAGGGGCAATGCACGGTGAAGTCCGGAATAATACTCGGCTACTAGGTTCGGGAGAGGACAAAAAAGCTTAGTGAGCATCGTGATCTCCACGACACTCCTGCAACTGATGCATGCGGCTCAATGCCTGGAATGGATCGCCTTAAGTGCCAACCAGGCGCATACGTGGACTTCTATTGATTTGTGACAAAAGCATGCGATTTTTGCTGTGCAGTGAAAGTCAATGATTTTTTTACGAAAGTGTACCGGTAAGATATTGTCAACACTCGCTGCTGGCCGACTTTGTGCGATCAACTCATCGTAAGTGTTTTTAAGACGTGTGTGTTGTGAATGTTGAAGCACGTGCGACGGTCTAAAAAATAATATGGCTGTGATTTCGGAAGCTCGCCCACTGTTAGGATTAAGTTATAAGGCAGTTTCACTCCCTGATTAGGTTATCCGTCAGACTTTATCGCTCGATATATTTCAGTGAGATTGCTTGCGCTAGTTCGATCCGAGGCAGACATAAATTAGTAGCTGGTGGCTGTTCATAAGGACGGGAAGCATGCCGACCCGGGGCCGCGGCGACCACCGGCCTCCGTGCCACACGCAGACGAGGAAGGGCGTGAAATGCATCTGCCAGATCTGCATGTGCGGCCGTCACTCGTGCCCGTACCACCAGGCCGAGTGGCAGATGACGCCGGCTGAGAAACAGTCGACCGAATACAAGGAGATGTTCTACCCGAAAGGTGACGGACGTCAGCCGTCGTGCAAGCCCCATAAGCCGATGGACGCGGTGAAGGAGCCGATGGAGGACCTGACGATCCAGAAGCAGGACTTCACTGGCCGGTGCGCGCGCCGGCCGGACTCGTTCAAGCCGGACCTGGAATACCTCGGCCCGTGCCAGCCGCTCGAGGCCGAGACCACGTACGTGGTAGACTTCCCCCGGCGCGAGGGTAGCAAGCGGAAGCCGATCAAGCCGCACGGCCGCATTACCGACCACCGCGCGCCGCTCTGCGACCGCACACAGAACCGCGTCTCGTTCCGGCCGTACAACGCGGCCGAGGCGGCCGACGCCAAGCCGCCGGCGTGTCGGCCTCGCCAGGGCCTGCACGGCGTGGAGCAGCCCATCAGCACGGACACGACCAACCGCACCGACTACTGCCGCAAGCCCATCTGCGTGGACCGCGTGCGCGCGCCGCACGATCTGCACGTGTCGGACCAGCCGCTGGACGACCGTACCATGTACCGGCACGACTACCCGGCCAAGGAGCCGCCGTGCAAGGAGACGGTGCGCCTGCCCGAGTGGCAGCCGCCGGCCGTGCCGATGGACGGCCAGACGATCCAGCGCTGCCACTTCACGCCGAAGCAGCCCGACTGGAACCCCAGCTACAAGCCGCACCGGCAGTACGAGCAGCCGTGCCAGCCGATGGAGGACCGCACCACGCAGAAGGAGTCGTTCCGCTGCTACCCGCCGCGTGAGAAGGAGGAGTACCCGTGGATGAAGCGGAAGCCGTACGACGGCCCGTGCGCGCCGATTGACGGCGACACGCTCTACCGCGAGAACTACGGACCGAAGGAGGGCCGCCGGCCACCGCCGGCCAAGCCGCCGGCCGGCCCCATTCAGGAGCGATGCCCGCTGCTCGACGCCACCACCTACCGCAAGGACTTCGTGCCGCGTGCGCGTGACGCGGCCGTCTCGTGCAAGCCGGACCGCGAGTACGCGCCGCCGGAGCGGCCCATCGACTCGGACACGACCTACAAGAACGACTACATGGGCTGCCCGGGCCGCCGGCCGGCGCCGTTCGTGCCGCTGGCAGGCGTGCCGTCCGACACGCCGATGGACCTGCGGACCACGCACAAGGCCACGTTCGTGCCGCTCCGCTGCCCGGCCGAGGGGCTCAGCTCGCGCCAGAACCCCTGCTACCAGTTCGTCGACTGCAAGGGCGAGCACGAGCTGTTCGAGAAGGCCAGCGACCCCATGTGCGACACGCTGCAGTCTGGCTTCCAGCCGCAGCTGGCGTAGGGCGGATGGTGTGTACGGCAGATGGCGTTGGTGGCGATTTACGGAAAATAGGTGGCGCTGCTGACGGAGTTTATGTGTGCGCGATTATTTTTGGAAATCCTTTTGTTTGTTGATTGGACTGAGAGGTTTTAAATTCAGTACGTGGCCGAATTCCTTGACCAAACAACGTCTATGTCGTCCGTCTGTCGCGCGTTGATAAAGTCTAGTCGTAGCCGTTGGCGTGTCCGATTAATAAGCATCAGCGCAATGCTGCAACAGCTAGCGCCTCTCGGTGCACGCAAATTGTATGGTCGCGAGTATTTCGGTGTATGGGGGGGAAAACGAAAGCAAATACAGCCTCTGTTATCAATTGCTGAAGTGCGCCGCGGTCTGTGGGAGTATCGAACATTTCAGTCGACATGTCTCCCATATCTGCCATACGTTTGGAGCGCTACTTTCATTCTGCCCAGTATCAGACCATAGCGGATAAAAATGGATCTGCGTGTTAACATAGAAATGTAAAAGTAGTTTATTAGCGTTTTTTTATTGGAATCATCTGTCGTATTTTTGTGTTGATCCTACTTTCCTTCGACACCGAAATTAGCGCGATTGACGATGTCCGTTGGACTCAGAGCGGTATATTTCGATGAGCCGTCGTGTCGCCCTCTTTCTTTCTGAGCGCGTCTCCGAGCTCCTGTCTCCACTGCCCCGCCGTCACTCCTTCAGCTGGCGGGCGGTGCCTAGCCTGTCTGGCGGATCTCACTCCTCCGCAGCCGCCCCCAGAGACCCCAGAGCCAGCGTGTCCGCGCTCCCTCGCCGCGGGCTCGATGGCCATGTGAACGGCGCCGCTTGTCTGACGGCGTCTGTCTGTGACCGTTGGCAGCGCGGCCTCCGCGGCCGGGGTCGGCTGGGACCGCCGCCAGGGGGGCGGCCGTCTCCGGCCCGCCTGCGTCTGGCTCACCCTGCTGGCCGGCCTGGCGCTGCTGGTGCTTCTGGTGCCCGGAGCCGAGGTGGCCCGCACCCGGAGCCGCGCCGTGGACTCCTGCAGGTCAGGGGACCGCCGCTGGTAGTCAGAGGGCCGCCGCTGGTGGTCAGTGGACCGCCGCTGGTGGTCAGTGGACCGCCGCTGGTGGTCAGAGGGCCGCCGCTGGTGGTCAGAGGACCGCTGCTGGTGGTCAGAGGATCGCCGCTGGTAGTTCGTGAACCGCCGCTGGTGGTCAGTGAACCGCCGCTGGTGGTCAGTGGACCGCCGCTGGTGGCCACTGGACCGCTGCTGGTGGTCAGAGGACCGCCGCTGGTGGCCACTGGACCGCTGCTGGTGGTCAGAGGATCACTGCTGATGGTCAGAGGACCGCTGCTGATGGTCAGTAGAGTGAGACTGGTGGCCAGGACACTAAGGTAGCTGTGAAGAAACTAGGACAGTAGTCATTTATATGCAGTGAGCTTTAATGAATCAGCACGCGTACACAATGCCAATTGGTTCATGTTGGCAGGACCCAAGCGTCTGGTTTGTTACGGTGTTCCGCGCCGTTCCCCTTACGTGGTTCACGCTGTGCTTTTGTATGGGCCTGCTGACGCCCCCTTCCCCTCATCACACGTTCAGTGGACACGCTACTTCACTGAAGAAGGGGGGCACGATCGCGACATTTTTGTTTCGTGACGAACAGGGCTACCGCTGACAAACGCGTGCTCATGGCTGCGTTGCATCCGAGCGTGGCGTCATCTTTGCGACATGATCACCCCGGTCAAACACTGTGTAATCGCTGCATTAGGCGTGCCACGGCGACATGCAGACGATTACGGGTTACAGAAACGAACGATTGAAATGACGCAGGTGGGGTGTTGACTGTCGGGATTGCATTTTAACGCTGCATTAGGGTGTCGCTGCCTTTTATATACGCCGTGATGTAGACCTGCCTTACCGGCAAGTTAGTAACAAAGTGGCTTTAAATGGCTGTTGCACCTTAAGTGTAGTGTTGGTGTTATTGCACTACATGTAGTGCTATTTATGCCGTCCCACGTCACATCTACCGCGTTATATCTATCACACTTCACACCTTTCGCGAGCCACATCCCCCTCGCGCGGCACGTCTATCACCCGTTGTATCTCTCACACGCCACATTTCTCAAGCATCACACTCATCACACGTGGCAGGTGTGGCGTGCGACGTAAAAACGTCTCGTCTCGGACGCGTACACCCATCTCGCGTCCAGCCTACGGTCCGCCACACCTCGTCGCCATCGGTGCGCCTCCTCACGCGCGATGGCGCCGCCTGCTCGCGCCTGACGCCTCACGTTGCACGCCCCCCCGAAGCGTGACCGGCCGCCCTGCCTCCTCCGCCGCAGCATCAGCCTGGTGGAGAGCATTCCGATCGGCCTAACATACAACTCGAGCGTGAGCCACATGTCGACGTTCGACGCATGGCAGCGGCTGCTGCGGCTGGCCACCGGCTCCGTCTCCATCGCCTCCTACTACTGGACGCTTCTGGGCAGGGATGTCGTGCCGGACCCGTCGGCCGCCCAGGTGCGAGGATGTGCCGCCGCCGCCGCCGCCGCCGCCGCCGCTCAGAGCGGCGACGGGAGGAGGGGCGCGGCGAAGGCGGTGTCTGGCGGTGAAGCGGACGCGCAGGCGGTTGGCTCAAGTCGTGCTGGGGTGGGGGTCGACACCGGGCTTCGTTTTGCGAATCACATGGCCACCGTCGCCCACTGTCGCTCACTTCCAAATTCCGTCTGTTGTTACTCCATGCTGAATGTTTGCTCTAAGGCGAGTGATCTGACAGTGATGCTCTCATGCTCATCGCTTTTAGAAAATTACCGGCTCATTGCTGACGCACTTGCTAAAAGCCGCCGAATGGCGTGGTCTAAAAGCGCACCACATCACGGTATTGCTCAAGGTGCCGCAGCTCCGTTCGAATGCCCTTCTCTCAGGCCTGGGCTTGACATTCGGCCGGAAGTTTGCGCAAGAAGCACGAGCCTGTGGCAGGTCATTGCGTCCTAGGTGTCTCTTCCTCCCGTCTCTGGCATTCCTAGGGGGGCCATTTCTCCCGCGACGAGCCGGCTACAGTGATCGCCGACCGGTATTGCCCTGCCGCCGACACTGAGCGCGACCCCGCTGACACGTGCGGGACGCCTGTGACGTCACAGGGCGAGGAGATCTACCGCCAGCTGACGCAGACCGGACTGCGGAGCGACGTCACGCTGAAGATCGCGCAGAACACCCCCGACGGCAAGAGTAACGACACGCAGCACCTGGCGGACATCGGGGCTGCCGAGGTGGGGCGGCCCGGGGCCGTGTGGGGCCCGTCGGCGGGGCCGTCGGCGGGGCCCGTCGGCGAGACCTCTCAGGGCGCGCGGCTTCGGGGCGGGCCGTGTGTTGACACGCGCTGGAATTGCAGACGTTCCGCCGCTGACACGGGCGGAAGCCGTGTTTACGTCTTGAATTAGTCGCTCCAATGCGCTGCTAAGCCCTCCCATAATGGAAGCGAATGCAGCTGATAAGCCCACCGGCGGGGCCGTCTGATCCGTCGCGCTGGGCTGTCGGTGCGCTTCTCACGATCTGGTGTATTCCGGAGCGTGCCAGACCAGGCCGCGGGCAGTCTCCGACTGTGGACATTCCGGAGCGTGCCAGACCAGGCCGCAGGCAGTCTCCGACCGTGGGCATTTCGGAGCGTGCCAGACCAGGCCGCGGGCAGTCTCCGACTGCGGACATTCCGGAGAGTGCCAGACCAGGCCGCGGGCACTCTCCGACTGTGGACATTCTGGAGCGTGCCAGACCAGGCCGCGGGCACTCTCCGACTGTGGATATTCTGAAGCGTGCCAGACCAGGCCGCGGGCAGTCTCCGACTGTGGACATTCCGGAGCGTGCCAGACCAGGCCGCGGGCAGTCTCCGACTGTGGACATTCCGGAGCGTGCCAGACCAGGCTGCGGGCAGTCTCCGACTGTGGACATTCCGGAGCGTGCCAGACCAGGCCGCGGGCACTCTCCGACTGTGGACATTCCGGAGCGTGCCAGACCAGGCCGCGGGCACTCTCCGACTGTGGACATTCTGGAGCGTGCCAGACCAGGCCGCGGGCAGTCTCCGACTGTGGACATTCTAGAGCGTGCCAGACCAGACTGCAGGCAGTCTCCGACCGTGGATATTCCGGAGCGTGCCAGACCAGGCCGCGGGCAGTCTCCGAACGTGGACATTCTAGAGCGTGCCAGACCAGACTGCAGGCAGTCTGCGACCGTGGACGAACCGAGCGCGACGTAAGACGCATCGATTAATGTCCGTCTCGCCGTCCGCCGCGCTCGTACACGCCGTGCATCAGCGGGCAGACCTGCTCGCCGCCCGCTGCCCGGTTCGGCAGGGAGAGAGAGAGGGAAGGAGCGCCGGTGGTGTCGCCGCCGCCTCCCTCGGGCGCGGCGGGACTCTGACAGGTCGCGGGCACCTCCAGGTACGCTCGCTGGACTTCCCGCGGCTGGTGGGCGCCGGCATCCTGCACACCAAGATGTGGCTGGTGGACGCGCGGCACTTCTACGTGGGCAGCGCCAACCTCGACTACCGCTCCCTGACGCAGGTGATGTGACGGCCGGCGCCGAGTGCGACTCCCCGACCCGGGCGAGGTAGGGACCTCCTCGGGCGTCGTCACAAATCGGCGCTCAGTGCTAACCTGTGGCTTGTCGCACAGGCTACGTGCATTGGCCAGACGTCTTGTAGATCGAAGAGGACTTTGGTTGCTCGTTGATTGATCGCTCCCAAGCGCTGAAGGCGTTGCTTGCGCACTGTGATCACTGAGACGTTGTCGTCTTTCCCAACGCCTTGTTACGCGTTTGAGCTCTATATTGGAATCACTGATATCCGTTGCAGCAGCTGTGCTATTGAGTAAGTTTCCAGATGCCAGACAGGCCATATGTTAACGCCACAATGGCCAGTTCCAGAACCGTTGCTTACGCAACTGATTCAGTGAACTGAACACCGTCCCCGGCAATCAGTTTCTCTACGAAGGCTGTGTGGGCCCCTGATGTCGGCTGTTTTTCCTTGCCACGTCTGCGTCACCACCGTGTCCGGCTGCTTGTCTACTGCACATTTTAGTTGCGGGTGTATCGCCTGGTTGGAGTGTATTCAGCGCGCTCTGTGTGTAGTTAGGCGAGGGCGAGCCGCCCTGGTGGCACAGCGCACGCGTCTGGCAGGTGACCTGATCACCGTCGCGACGATCACGCCCGTCTCCAGCCGTCGTGACCGCCGTCGTGACCGTCGTCCCCCTGCTGGCCGGGCGGCGTCGCGTTCCTTCGGGTCGGGACCGGTGATGTCTGGTCGTCGGGTCGGGACCGGTGATGTCTGGCCATCGGTCGGGACCGGTGATGTCTGGCCGTCGGGTCGGGACCGGTGATGTCTGGCCGTCGGGCGGGACCGGTGATGTCTGGCCGTCGGGTCGGGACCGCGCTGGCCGCCTGATAACATCGCCCGCCGGCCGCCTGCCGGCGCCGCTCACGCGCGCCTCGTGTCCTGCCGTCAGGTGAAGGAGCTGGGAGCCCTGGTGCAGGACTGCAAGCCGCTGGCCGCCGACATGGACAAGATCTTCCAGGTGGGCACCAAGGGACGGGACTGAGCCTTCGGAGGCGATACTTTCGGAAGGCTGTGGTGTCCCTGCGGCTAGGTTCACGAAGCGAGGGTCTGGCAGTGTTCGGTCTGGAATGTTGTGTCTGTTCGGTAATATTGGAATTGTTGTCACGATACATAGCGAAATGAACTGTATTTTACCCCTTATTCGACTTCGTTGAGCGCAGTTGCCTCGTGTGGCCAGACGAACAGCCGGCTCATTGACGTACCATTGTACCTTAGTATTGGGGAATATCTGCGCATGAGCCTCACATCAGTGATCATCCGCCTGGCACACTTGTGAAAGACAAACTCCCCATCCCCAATGCACTGATCAAACAAATGTGAATGGGTTCTCAAAGATGCCTGACCCCATAAGCCTACGGTCTAACTGGCGAGGCCACAGACCTAGAGAGCCTGAAACAAGTACAGAATATTCAACTCGAGGGACCCGGCTCGGTCGTCCCGATCAGCACCAATTAAAGGAGCTAATCAAGTTAGGTGTAGCTTATGAAGACAACGAAGATGGGCATTAGTTATCTTTGTAACCACCGATGACAGCTGCATGCAGTTTCAGCAACAACGGGCGTGATGCGTGGTAAGTTTGCTCCGCATGTGCCGCGAAGTCTCGTCGCGAGCTCAGTTTCCTTGAAATATTACGATGCGAGCGGTGTCGGCAAGATGAGAGGTGGTCTCGGCAAGCAAAGCACGTGACACCGTGAAGCCGGCGGCGCGGAGTCGGCGAGTGCACCTGCTGCACACGAGTCACTGCGGCCAGCGGTGCAGTCGGCGACCGCACCGCTGGCCGATCCGTCGCTCCGCGGTCGGCCGACGGAGGAGCGACCGATGCCACATGTTTGGAAACCCCCGCCAGGTGTACTGGCTGGTGGGCGGCGACACGGGCCGCATTCCGGACGAGTGGCCCGACCAGTACCACACCGACATCAACAAGGACAACCCGCTGCCGGTGTCGCTGCCGGACGAGACGGCCTACGTCTACCTGTCGGTGAGGACGGCCTGCGCATCCTGGCGCCCAGGGTAGAGCTCGCCACGCGGCGTGGGCGGTCCGGAGCTTCGTGTGCAGCCGCGGAGCCGGCACGGAACGTCGATCCGGCTGCTGTTTTCTGTGTTGGCAGGCCGCTGGTCCGGGTGATCATCGCATGACCATGTAGCGTTGCGCGTACATGATCAAGGTCGTGTGTGTCGGATTAAACGCTGCTTTCGGGGGTGGCTCTCGCGTACTGGGAGGATCTGTGAGGGATAAGAGGATCTGTGAGGGGCTCGCCCCCGTCCTCAGACCACCGGAACCTCGGTATCTCTGTGATGCTTACGGGTGTCGACGGGCTCTCCCGATCTGTTCTACCATTTGATCATTGAAACAATGGAGAATGGTGCAAGGGTCGTCAGCACAAACTGGGGCGGAGGGGGGGGGGGGGGGGGAGACGTTACCGTCAACGGATAAGTCACATCACATCGTAGGTAGTATAACTCTAGTTTACCGATCCTCTGGAGGGTGATGGGGAATTTTGATAGGATTATTACAAACACGTTGACGATACAAATATTAAAGAAGCTCATCTGCAGACCTTTTCGCAGCGCATTCCTTAAGGGAACAAGTGTAGGTTTTCAGCATTGACAGTTTGCAATGGCGAACATTTCGGCAAAACGAGTGATTCATGAAACAAAAACCATATATATATATATATATATATATATATATATATATATATATATATATATATATATATATATATATATATATATATATATATATATATATGTATATATATGTATATATATGTATATATATATATATATATATATATATATATGTATATATATATGCATGTATATATATATATATATATATATACATATATAATTGATAATGAAAAGAGTTCAGACATAAATAAAAGAGTTCAGACAAGCGACCTATTTCCGTGTGTGTTCCTTTACTCCGCTTCTCAAGTTCTGGGTATCATTTTGTGGGGCATGTTGCATCGCGTAACGACCACTTCAAATTCGGCCTTCTGGCCCTACTGTACATTACGTATTTCACTGTGGATCTGGGCTTACTAAAGGGCATTCCATTTCTTGAACAAACGGCCGCGAGCTATGGTTTTCGAGGCCAGTATTGATTACATTGGCCGAAGAAGTTTTGAACATTTGGGTAAAGCAAATGTTTAGAGAGTCAGCTAGCCTCGGGGTTCTACCTCAGACTGCGCACTTGCAACGGCTGGAAAATCTGAGGGTCGTTCAGTTTTCAAATCAATGGAGGCAAGCGCGACAGCCTTTTACGCAAGTTGTGCGTTGTGGTCGATAGATAAATAAATGAAACAAATAAATGAATGAAAAGTAAATACGAATAGATAAATTTGTTCGTTTTGGTTTTGGTGGTCCGATCCGTTGTGATCCTAACGGCCGCACTCGTCGCCCATTTCTTGCCTTCACTCATTTGATTTTCATTTTGACGGCGCTAGGGGCGCTGTGTCGGTCCCAGTCCCCGCCTTTACTGACGTCTGATGCCAGCGGTCCCGTCCGGAGGTGCCCAGAAGTCCGCCGCTTCTGTTTCGCACGCGTGACCCTGTGTAGCAGCTGGTGCCGCGGCTCACAGTGCCCGCTGCGTGACCCGTGACCCGCCGTGACCGAGAGCTCGCCGCCGGCGCTCTGCCCGCCGGCCGCACCTCTGACGTGACCCGTGACCCGCCGTGCCCCAGAGCTCGCCGTCGGCGCTCTGCCCGCCGAGCCGCACCTCGGACGTGACCCTTGACCCGCCGTGCCTCAGAGCTCGCCGCCGGCGCTCTGCCCGCCGGGCCGCACCTCGGACGGCGACGCCATCGTGCACACTATCGACGCGGCGCGCAAGTGCGTCCACATCGCCGTCATGGACTACTACCCGATGCTCATCTACGGCCGCTTCACGTGAGTGTGCCGGCCCGAGAGGTCCCGGGGGGCTCGGGACGGGAGGCCTGGGTTCGAATGCTTCCAGCGGAAGCAGCTCAAGACTGACGAGCTTAGCGGATTTGAGATCCGTCTCGTGGCAGAGACGGGTCCCTTTGTGTGCGTTACCTCTGAAAGAGGGATCGATTAGTGTGGATGCATGGGGTCTCATAATACGATGGAAGTTGAACGCTGTGTGTCAGCCGTTCTCTGAACGGAAACGGCTTCTGATAACGTCACGTTCGGTAATGCGGTAACTGAGACACAAGAGCTCGAAGGGACGTTCTCTTCGTTCCTTGTTTTGCTTAGTTTGTTTTCCCCAAGCGTTTGGAAGGATCACCGCCAAAGCACGAGCATATGAAGGGATAAAACGAACTCGGCATGTTATTCAACTCGATTCCAGCTTAGACGTCGTGACCGCGAGTTGCGTAACGTCGCTGAGGACCAGCCGAAAAGATTTGTTTTGTTTTGTTTTGAGAAAAAAGTTTTGAAAAGATTTGTTCGATATTTTTGTGTTTCGGAATCGCTGCACCGTAGGTTTCGATGGACAGTGCGTGATCATGTCAATCAAGCGCGCCGCCTGACTGATAATGCTTCGCCAGCTCTTGGTTGCGGCGGACTTCAGCGTCAATGTGCAGCGTTCTGGTGGAGGCTCGCGTGCCGTGAGTCCGCTGCCGGACCAACAACGCCGCTCCCATGCCGTCTGGCGGGCACACAGAACCTTTGGCCCGGGGCTGTCCGGCGGCCGGGGCGCCGCCGGACACGGGCTGCGGCCGCCGGCGGGCTGGTGGTCAGCCCGGGTCAGAGAGGGTCCTCACGGGCGTACCGGGCTGCGGCCGCCGGCGGGCTGGCGGTCAGCCGGTTCAGAGAGCTGTCCCCGCGGGTGTACCGGGCTGCAGGCCGGCTTCAACGCCTTGAAGCGGCGCGGCCGCGGGGTTCCGGGGTCGTGGGAGGTCCGGGCTCCGGGAAACAGAACGGCCACGGACGGTTAGATCCTGCGGCTTCGCCGTCGGATAAAGCGGAACTATAGCGATAGCTATAGCGCTCCCCGGAACGGCGCTTCCCCACTCCTGCTGGCGTCTGTTCGGCCGCGGCGGCCTCGCCCCGGCGGTCGGCGAGTCTCCCCGAGGCCCTCGGTCGTGTCTGTTGCTTGGGCGCCGCGGCCCGACGTGGCAGTCGGCCCGCTGGGGCCCAGTGTCACGTCGAGCAGGAGGGGCTTAACTGGCCAACTGTTGAATGTTGCGCTCAGACTGACCGCCCCCCGAGCGTGCTGGGGTACGCTCGGGGGCGGCCAGTCCGCCAGTCCGTCCAGTCGCTGTAGTCACTGGGGCACGCTCGAGGGCGGTCAGTCCGCCAGTCCGTCCAGTCGCTGTGGTCACTGGGGGCACGCTCGGGGGCGGTCAGTCCGCCAGTCCGTCCAGTCGCTGTGGTCACTGGGGCACGCTCGGGGGCGGTCCAGTCCGCCAGTTCCGGTCCAGTCGCTTGTAGTCACTGAGGCACGCCGGGTGGGTCAGTCTGCCAGTCCGTCCAGTCGCGTAGTCATGGGGCACACGTCGGGGGCGGTCAGTCCGCAGTCCGTCGAGTCGCTGTGGTCATGGGGCACGCCGGGGGCGGTCAGTCCGCCAGTCCGTCCAGTCGCTGTGCGTCATGGGGCACGCTCGAGGGCGGTCAGTCCGCCAGTCCGTCGAGTCTCTGTGGTCACTGGGGCACGCTCGGGGGCGGTCCGTCCGCAGTTCCTCCAGTCGCGTGGTCACTGGGGCACGCTCGGGGGCGGTCAGTCCGCCAGTCCGTCCAGGTCGCTGTGGTCACTGGGGCACGCTCGGGGGCGGTCAGATCCGCCAGTCCGTCCAGTCGCTGTGGTCACTGGGGCACGCTCGGGGGCGGTCAGTCCGCCAGTCCCGTCCAGTCGCTGTGGTCACTGGGGCACGCTCGGGGGCGGTCAGTCCGCCAGTCCGTCCAGTCGCTGTGGTCACTGGGGCACGCTCGGGGGCGGTCAGTCTGCCAGTCCGTCCAGTCGCTGTAGTCACTGGGCACGCTCGGGGCGATCAGTCCGCCAGTCCGTCCAGTGCGCTGTGGTCACTGGGGCACGCTCGAGGGGCGGTCAGTCCGCCAGTCCGTCCAGTCGCTGTGGTCACTGGGGCACGCTCGGGTGCGGTCAGTCCGCCAGTTCCGTCCAGTCGCTGTGGTCACCGGGGCACGCTCGGGGCAGTCCGCTGCTGTGCGGCCAGTCCGCTGCTCCGTCCAGTCGTGTCAGTCCGACACGTGCATATACCCTTCGCGTTCGTCAGTCAGTGTACGGGCTGCTGCGTCCGGTGGATCCCCGCTGTGAGCCCGGATTTCTGCCACGTGCCTATACGGATATACACGTGCAGACATACGTACAGACAGACTGTTTCTGTTTGGGGCCTTTGGCCATTTTTCGTATAATTTTATTGTTCACCATTTGTGTGTGCCTTTTGTACGCACCTGTATGACTTGAAACCGTAATAGCCACCAGACGGATGACTTCCAATATTTTGGCACTGGTGCTGATACTAATACAGACTTTGTTGGGGAAATCCGTAAATGGCTCGTGGCTCTGGCGACCTCTCGTGGAAAAACACGAGAACGACGTAAAAAGCGCGTCGTCATAGTCACGGAATATAACCGTCCGCAGTCACTGCAGCGTACGGGTCGTTAATGAAATCCAGCACGCCCGGCTGTTGCGTGATGACTGTAACTGATGTTGAGTGCCTGCGCCCTAGGCATTGATACATCGTCGGTTATTTCGGTAGTTGAGTGTTCGTGCCATGCGCCCTCTTGTCATGTTTCGTCTCCCGCCGTTCGGCGCGTCTGTCCGGCATGTTCGGGCTCCCGTACGGTGCGTTCGTTCGCCATGTCGCCATCCTGTGTTTCTGTGTCGTGCCGTCCACCTGCCCATCCACCTACCTTGCGCCGGCCTCCGCGCCGTTCCCCGCTCGCAAGGCTCACACCACTCTCTCAGTCCCTCGCCCGCTCGTCACCTTCCCAGGACTGTGCCTCAGTCACCCGTGTTTGCCCCGACAGACCTGACTTCACATCCGGGCAAGGGCTCTCCGTCGCTCGTCTGTCCAGCCGGCCTCTGCCGCGCGCCCTTCCCTCAGCCCTCGTCGGCTTCTCCCGCGCGCCGCTGCCCCACCGTCGCTCTCGGCCGCCAGGTTCTGGCCGGTGATTGACGACGCCTTGCGCCGGGCGGCCGTGGACCGCGGCGTCGAGGTGCTGCTGCTGGCCAGCCACTGGAACCACACGCACGCTGACATGTACCACGGTCTGCGCTCGCTGCAGGCGCTCAACGGCACGCGCAAACACATCCGCATCGAAGTGGTGAGGCGCGGGGAAGGGAGCGTGCACGGCCAGGTCTGGGTTCGAGTCCCGGCCGTGGCTGCTGCAGCTGGTGGGTCCCGTGAGCTTATGCACGGTGGTGGGCGCCGGACACCCGCTAAAACGGAACAGCGGTTTGGCGGTCGCGGATTGCCCCGGCACCGCGGATTGCGGTGCCGGGGTTATGGAGCGTGATGGAGGAAAACAATGAATGTTATCATGTGTTCCCATGTGGCGGTTTATTGCTGCGGGGGTGTGGAGAACGTGTCCGCTGTTCCACTGAGGCTTGTTTGTTATTTGTTGTTGGAAATCTCGACGGAGATGGTGACCCCGATCAATCGGACCAACAAACCAGACGCGCCACATATGTACCTTTGTGTAGTGTGGGTGTGGGTGTGTCTGTGGGTGGGTGTGACTGGTTTATGGTTGCAGCCTAACAGGGAGTACGTGCGGAACTGGAGGACTTTGGCTCTTCGAGGATGTGTCTTGGATTGCCAAATTCACCTACGCGGCTCCTTACTGCACCTTCGACCGCGCGTCAGGCGTTTGGGTGGAAATCCGCGTTGTTATTGCGGTGATAGTCTCAGATATTGTGCCGGTCCAATGGCCGGTTTTATTGTCTGTTGGGTGCCGCCACTGGAGTTGAATGTCAAGACCTGCTTGTGAAATGTCTCGCATCGTTCCTCGTTTTCGGCTTTCGAACCTCCTTACCTGTTAACACATTGGGTCGACAAAAATCGTCATCGAGTTAAATGCGTGGAACGTCCCGGCGTTCTCTCTATTAATGTGATAGTTTTTTGTTGCCAGAAGTGTTGGTTTTTGCTCTAACAGTTTTGCGCCGTTTCTGTCTCAGCGTGGGTCCTGCGGGCGTCTAGTCCGCGGTAGTATTTTTCTTCACTGTGGCAGCGCTTTTTCCCACGTGGCAGCGCAGTCGCAAAAGGAGCATTCTTGCAATTGCTGACGAGTTCTTTGCTAACATGTCTGTTTTGAAACGAAAAAAATGTTCTACTTGTTTGAAAAGTGTCATTACAGCACTTGTTAATAGCCCTGCCTGCCTAACGGCAAGCTGGGCGCCTTTCGCAATGTAAATCTTCATTACGACATTACCACTTGGCAGCTAGCCGATAAACCGTTCGCCCACGTCTTGCGTAACTATGTGCTCGACGTTCCAGCGGATGTTCGAAGTTCCGCCGTCGTCCGGACAGCAGATACCGTACAGCCGAGTCAACCACAACAAGTACATGGTCACAGACCAGGTGGCCTACATAGGTGGGTGGGCATGACCTGCGCGCACAGGCGAGGCTGCGGTGGAACTGGGTGCGTGGGAACCACGCGGCAGTTTGCGGCCTGAGTGGCCCTGCCGGTCCGGCAGTCCCCTTTCTAGAAATTAATATCTGCAGACACCGATTGCGGCGTGGTGAAGCTTCCGAGAAAAAGAAGGGCGGAGTTCCGAGAGTTGCGCTGTGTAAATTGTCAGACATTTCCGTACGAGCTGTTCCATAAGGCTTGCTACATCTGTAACGCTGTAATCCGAACGAGATATGGACTTTTCGTCCGCGCAACACTGGCAGCTGGCTCAACAATTCGCCAGTTGCAGAAAAGCCGCATGACAGGTCGAAACCGGGCTGGATTTGACGAGCTGACGTGCCATGGGGACGAGGCCACCACCGTCTGGCAGAGGGGAGGGGAGGGCGGGCAGTGTTACTGGCGAAAGCCGGAGTCGATGTGTGTCACTCACAGATTGGCCCGTTTTGGGGTGTTTTGAAAAATCTGTGTCGGACATTACAACCGGAAAGATAAGGACTCGAAACGAACTGATCAGTGTAGACGAGTGAACGGTCCACAAACCATAGAGGTGTTCCGGTATTGTCGGACCTATATGCGCGCCAGTTGTCGACAGAAGACAGTCGACGACAAAATCGTTTTCTGAAACCAGTCTCGGATATTTCGTGCTCTGATGTAACCCGACAGATTTGGTCCAGAGCATCTATACAGGCGTGGAGTTCGTTACGCTGTGACACATCCATGGAAAATATTTGTTTTCGTGGTGCTAATTCTGTTGCAGTCTCCAAAACCGCAAATCAGTAGAATTAAGCTCGCCAGGGCTGACAGGAATGGCCGAGGCCAGGTCATCAGCCAACCACTTCCAAGCGACTTGAGTGTGAAATAATCGTGTGAAATCTGCGAGAGACCCCCGCCCTCCGGCTACGTGCTCGTGCCTGACACCGGTACCGCCCCGCAGGCACGTCCAACTGGTCGGGCGACTACTTCGTCAACACGGGCGGCATCGGACTGGTGGTGAACTCGTCCAGTCCGGCGTCGGCCGGCGCGCTGCGCTCGCAGCTGGAGGCCGTGTTTCAGCGCGACTGGCAGTCGGACCACTCGCGCCCGCTGGCCGACTTCGACTGAGACGCGGCGCGGGTCGCCAGGTCGCCGCGCCCGAGCCGCGAGCGACCTGGTGACCCGGCGTCCGAGCGTGGCTGGCCCGTCGGAGTGCCGGCCGGCTGCGACGCGCCGTTCTCTCGGCAAGGCGGAGCGGACGTGGCCGGCCGGCTTCCGGCGAGTGTGCGGAGCGCTGACCCGACCTAAGGGATCTCAAGAGATTGGAGGCGGCCGGCTGCTGCGAGGTCCTGCAAAATCCTACAGAATCGGCGGCTGTCGATGGGGCTGTGTCGTGTCTCTGTTCCGGGGCCGCGGAACAGAATGCTGCTTGCTGGTGTGTGTGGCGGAGTGTCGTTGTCTTGATTGTTCAGGACGATGATTGTGAGGCCAAAGTTCGTATTTTACCTTCTGCACCTGTATGCTTCGTGGCTGGTCTATATAGCGTTTTGATTTGATCGTCCCGACTCTCGGAACGGCGGCGGACATCGAATCGTGATTAACATCCGTGTGCATGTATCCATCTCTAGGATTCCATTTGTGATGTCGTGCCTGCGGGCTATGGGCGTCTCCGGTATGCAACCTGGACCCAATAAAACCGACGCGCTGGTGCTCTGACCACTCTGCGATTGGACGGCACCTGGTATGTCGCAGGGAGCCGACGGCAAGTTGGAAACTGAATGCCGAGCAAACGCGGCGCCGACGTCCCGCGGCAGCGGACAGTCGGCTGGGGGGAGTGGGGAGGGCGGGTAGGAGGAGCCCGAGACGCCACAGCCGTGTCCAGGTCAGGGTGGGCGGCTGGGCGGGTCGTCTGCCCGGCCTGGACCGCTATTCGTTCTCAGATTGGTGAGCCTGTGGCGTCCCATCGTCAGACGACGCGTGTCGTCACCGGGCAGGGTCATCAGTTGCTGTTTTGGCGTGGACGCGGCCATTTCATGAGGCTGGCGTACATCGTGATAGTTGATATCTTCCGAATAAGGTTAGGATGCATTTGAAACTGACGCGCTACAACAGACTGTCACTAAATCAGCATCGAACTCAGAAAAACACGACTGCTCCCAAACAGTAAATGATTCGTCTGCCAGTTTACGTCATAATGGAACACAGCACAAATTTCAGAAGAAAAAAATGACTTTAAACGGGCCTTTCAGAAAAAGCTGACAGTTCCATAGTGCCCGTCTCGCCAGCGCTGACGAATATAAGCCCCCGCCTCCTCCCGCTCATCCCGCCGTGACGCAGATGACCTGTCGGGGATTCGGGCAGGTTGTCGTCGGGCGATGGGCTCGAATAGCGTGCTCGATCCACTACGAGGCTCCCTGGGGGCTGAGTAACTAATCTAGCGAGGGGAGACGCGGAACGGCTTCACTCGACAGCTGGTTCATCAGTGGATTCTCTGCCCGAGCGGCGACCTGTAAACAAGTCACGGAAAAGTTGAAACGGGAAGGTTGTGTGATTCGTGTGTGCGTTTCGTTTTACGTCTCATACGAACCGCACAGGCCCGTTAAGCCCATGGGCTGAACGGTGTGCTGAACATAGCTGTCGACCAAGCGTGTTCCTTTGCGGCCACCGTTGCGTTTGCTACGATGGTTGCTTTTCATTACGGTTGGGATCTGTCGTGTTGCATTTCTGGGAGGTGATGTATAATGAGTGGCAGTCGGCCGCATCGAAATCGAAGGCGCCCAATGTGACGATCCCACCCACGTCCTGTCAGCCACCCGACAGCCCTATGTTCTGCCCCGAAGCGTTTCACCACTCAACTCAGTGAGTGGATGAG